GACAGACAAGTCAAACACTGAAAGCTGTTAACCATGAGCCAGAGACTGCAAACAAGAAAGAAAATCAGGGTTTGAATGTGTGAGGAGGAAAGGATGACGTCAGAAATGCAAGCAAGAAAGGTATAGAGGTGTTGATTAGATGCTACATCAGGGGAGGAGAAAAAGGGGGGCGGGGGGAAGGAGAAAAAGGAACATTCCTCAACAGCAACAAAAAAAAAAAAAACATGGAAGACGAGAGAGGAGAGAGACAATCACAGAGCTAATCAATCGTAAGCCCCAAAACAAACGGAGAGGAGAAAATCGTAAGTCAGATACCGGCATACCTCTGACAGTCGAGGCAGACTGTTGTCAGACAAGCCGGACAGCTCAGAACTGCGTCGGATTTCCGCCCGCCACGTATCCTTTCCACCCAAGCCTGGTCGCGATCGTCCAAGCTGGGATCGTACAGCTCCGGCTCCGCTGCGGCTGCTTCTCTCAGAAAGGCTGCAAACAAAAAAAATAAAAAAAATAAAAAATGGAGAGGTGAGTTTCCCGCCGCCGAACAGATGGGCCGCAACACCCGAGGATTTTATAAAAGACAAAAATAAAAAATAGATGGGGAGGTGAGTTGGGATGGCAAGGAGCCATCCATGTACACTAGAAACCAGAAAATCAAAACCCCTCGAGAAGTGGGACATGGCCCCAGGTCCGACCAGCTCCGGAGGTAAGAGGGGTGGGTGCTAAGAGGGGTGGGTGCTTAGAGGGGTGGGCGCTAAGAGGGGCGGGTGCTTAGAGGGGCGGGTGCTAAGAGGGGTGGGTGCTAAGAGGGGTGAGTGCTAAGCTGGGATCGTACAGCTCCGGACCCGCCTAAAGGATCGGGATGAAATCAAATTTTATACATGCCACGTATCCTTTCCACCCAAGCCCACCCCGCCAAAAGGATCGTTTTAATTTTAATTTGGACCATTTCTCGATTTATGCGTGTCATCCTTGCGCAGGGGCCATTTGCTAATTTACCCTTCTCTGCATCGTTCCAATTTTAACGGCTGTCCCGAAGGACCCATCTATTTTTTTCAGAACGGCTGTGTGTGTGGCTCCTTGGCATCCGATCTGAAAATCCTCGGGGGGCAAGTCCCACTGGCAGCGTTGAGCTACCGCAACGCCTGAATCTGGACGCTTTTGCGAAGATGTGCAGAAATGGTGTTGGGTTTCCTGAACTGCACGTCTCCACTAACACGTCCAGATTTCAGGAGGTTGAGGTAGCTCAACTCTGCTAGTGGGACTTGGCCCCGGGGGTTGCGGCCCAGCCTTACACGACATTACAACTATTAATGAATAATAAATAAATTAATGAACTTTTTTTTTTTCTATACTCTTCTCTCAACTTCTGTTTCCCTCGTGCCTTCCACTACCTACTCCTAAGACTATCTAGAGGGGACCCCTGCAAGCATAGTTTCCTCTCTCTGTGAAGGGGAGATTTCATGTTGCCCCTTGCCCCTTAGGGTATAGGGTTGGGGCCGCCAGTGGGGGTCTGGCTAACACAAAGACCGAGACCTGCCAGTAGCTGTGCCTCCCTTTCTCATCGTCCCCCACCCTTCATCGAGTAGCAGCAGAGGCTATGGCCAACACTCTCCCACACACCACACACAACCCACTCGCGCTCACACTAACATGCAATTAGTGCCAATTACTTATTTAAACAAAAATTGAAAATTCAGCTCGCGAACATAAAATGTTCGTCATTATCGATGATGGTCCAAAGACGTCAGCCATTCAGCCATTCTGAGAATTCACCATGCAGAAGCATCGCCATAGCCACAACGTAACTGACAAGCATCGCCATAGCCACAACGTAACTGACAAGCATCGCCATAGCCACAACGTAACTGAGAGAAGTATCGCCATAGCCACAACGTAACTGAGAAGCATCGCCATAGCCAATCAAACTGAGAAGCATCGCCATAGCCAATGTAACAGAAGCATCGCCATAACCAACAGTCACGTTACATTGGCTATGGCGGTGCTTCTCAGTTAGATTGGATATGGCGATGCTTCCCGATGCCCGACGTAGCTGTTGTCTCATGATTATTGCACTTGTTAAAAAACACCAGCACGTTCAAGTCCAAATTTGATGATGATGGTGATGATGATGGTGATGATGATGATGATGATGATGATGTTCGATGGTGATGGTGATGATGATGTTCGATGGTGATGGTGATGATGATAGTGATCATGATGGTGATGATCATGATGATGGTGATGATGATGATGAGGATGATGATGATGAAGATGAAGATGATGAAGATGAAGACAATGATGATGATGATGATGATGATGGTGGAGATGATAACGATGGTGGTGACGAGGAAAAGGAGGAGAAAAGGGCGGGACCACGACGATAATGGTAATCCTTACTAGAAAAGTGGGAGTGGGTTGATTTGGACGGAAGACAAAAGAAAAACGCGGGAAACTACCGTCTTCCGCCGAACATAACGCACCCTCAAATGAATGTATACAAGCGATATTTCCGGCCAGATACAGCCAAAATGAGGGTGCGTTGTGTTCGGGGGAAGACGGTAGTCTGCACAAGAAAAGACCAGGAGATGTTGTCGCTGCTATTGATGCTCCATCGCGATGACGATTAACAATTCTTTTCTTTTTTTTAAGTAAGGGTACGGAACTCTATTCTTCTCTCAAATTCACCCTCTTGCTACCTACCTACGTTTTACTCCGACGACGACGAAGCCTCCTTGCCATGACAGTTTACATTGAAGATAACATTAAATTGATTGAGTATAACACATTAATAAAATAATAATAATTAAGGATTACGTCACCTAAGGATATCATTAAGTTCATTAAGTGTAAAGCATTAATTAAGGAGAATACCACAGGTACATACCTTCATCGTCACTGCTGTCACTGCCTTGCCACACGTCTTCTGAAGAGCCGCGTTGATCGTTGGATCCTTGGGGCCCCCTGAGTCGACAATGGCCTCTCCCACGGGGTAGCAGACTGCCACGTGTCTTCTGACGAGATGAAGATGGCGATGGCGATGGCGATGGAGATGGACAGGATGGAAGAGGTTGAGGAGGCAGTGGACTATCTCCTCGGTCCCCTCCACGACTGCTAATCATTGGGCCATCATCGTCACCGCCCGGCGTCTCAGCGCTCCCCTCTTCCGTTAGATTCATCTCCCCTAACACGTGGCACACACAGAACCACACACACCCACCTACAACCCTACCGACTGAACAGTAATTATACCAGTATCTGGACTGAAATTTGGACCAAATACAGACGCAATAATGACCGGGCGGCCTTTTCTGGTGAAGACGGTAGCAGCAATGACGGCTGCCTCGTACCGCCCAAATCGCTTTTTTTTTTTTTTTTCCTAACTCCTTACCCTCCTCACCGGGTCTGGTTAGAATGTAAATGAGTTTCTTTCCTCCGTGATAACTCGATACTTATCCTCCATAGCTGCGTGTTCGTCCTCTGGACGTGATTGCGGTCAGATACATCCAGGTCAGTCTGTAATTCAGGTCAGAAAGAGTTGTCTCCGCATGGCCAGAACATCAGGAAGAGCGCAAACTACAAACCAGGCACGTTGTCTGTACACACCTGTTCTTGATCTGCACGACCTCATCCACCTGCTTTCCCTTGATCCATTCCGTCGCTGTCAAAAAGCACAAGGACAAGAAACCAAACAAGGTCCAAGAGATGGATCAGGCAGAGAAATGCATCTGGTAGAGAGTAACAAAAACGTCTCAAGGACTCGTTAGGTTATAGCACTGATCGCAAAACCGAACTCTAATGCGCAATTGTCTATCTGGCAACCGAACAGCACAGCACACACTCCCATTTTATTCAAGTCATATTTAGCTTAATTATTTATGCCTACCACTTCACTCGACAAGTGTAGCGACTCTCTCACATCTTATTGAAGTCACATACGTTCACCCAACTACGCCTACCACTTCAGTCGATTAGCCCACTTGGGGTCCCGGAAATCGGTTCCCTCCCCCGAGGGACATGTCCAAAGAGCTAGAAGCTGGAAATCGGGTTCAGGGAGGCAAACCATGTTTCGTAGCTTTTCGAACGCGATTACTGAGTGGGCTAATTTCGTCCTTTCCACCCTTCTCGCTTCCAATTATCACCAGCGGAACAGGGGGAAAGAAGGGAAGAAAAGGGGGGGGGGGGGGGGGTGGCGAGGAGGAGGACGCGAAAACCAGACAGGCAGAAGGCAAAAATACAAGCAACAGACCAGAATCAAGCAAATAGATAGACAAAGCACGCAAAGCACAGAGCGCAAGATAGACAAAGAACAGAAAGCCCACACAAGTACGGAAATCCCGGAGTGCAACATAGACGAAGTACGGAATGCCCAGAGCGCAACATAGACGAAGTACGGAAAGCCCAGAGCGCAACATAGACAAAGTACGGAGAGCCAAGAGCACAACATCAACGAAGAACAATTAGTAGGTTGCCCCAGCCAATTTCCAGGATAGCCGTATCATCTAATATAAGCACCCACACCGTCAAATCTGCTCACAATCACACTTCATCATGCCTGTAAATGCCCCAAGGTAATTAGTATCCTGGCCTGGTTAATTGGAATTGCCGATCAGATCCTTCGATGCACATGACCAACCTAAATGCGTGTCAAAATTGCTTGTTAACGCGCAAGGACAGCACTGTGTTGAACATGCACCTCGACGCACCTGAACCGTCAGATGATGAATACATTACATGCTGATTGATTGGATTTACACAAACTTCTGATTGCCTGACACCACTTTCTGATCTTCTCTCGAGTAGAACGTGCTTGCATTAGCCTTATGAATGTACGCAACCGCAAACCGGCCTCCGATTCATTCATTACCCTCATCATCCATAAATTACCGCACGTCCCTCACAAGGGAGTTGCATTGTGATAATACAACCAATGCTTCTGGTTGCCTGACACCGTGTTACCATCTTCTCTGGCATAGAACGCGGCGGCGGAATTACTAGTGTACGTGGTCGCAAACCTGCTTTCAATTCATTCAATTATACTCGTCATCAGTTACTGCAAGTCCCTCCTAGAGGAAAAGAGTCGATAGGCGTGTGCTCTTATTCACAAACGTTCTCCCTACCATCCTTGGCCGAACATATCACATTCAAATTTTAAGACGAAATTCAGTACCTGGCCGCAAACCCGTCCACATAATTTTGCGATGCCCACCTGCGCAATTCAGTGGAAAATCAGCAGTAGTTGCTTAATGCATGAACGAAATTCTTTCCTTATGATGGTTGCGAACCGTCGATTAACTATACACAAGGACGGAGAATGAGGGTCAAACCCAACCCCATTCCCTGCTTGTCGGTGCTCGCATTCCTTTTTTGTGTGTGTGTGTGTGTGTGTGTGTGTGTGTGTGTGTGTGTGTGTGTGTGAGAACGGACTGAAGAATTCAACGAATCAATCAATTAATCGAATCCAACCACAACGAATCAATCAATCAATCGAATCCAACCACCAGCAGGAGCTGCAATAGTCTCTCTCTCTCTCTCTCTCTCTCTCTCTCTCTCTCTCTCTCTCTCTCTCTCTCTTGGAGCGCGGACACACGATCTCAACGAATCAATCAATCGACCGAATCGCATCGCATCGCACTATCAGCAGGAGCTGCAGTGGTCAATCTTTAAACGCAGGACAGGATGACTACTGCTATCACATCCAAGATACGCGCGCGATCTTTCATCCTGCGCAATCAAAAGGACTTATATCAAAGAACTTCAAAAACAGAACACGTCATCATATATCTCTCGTGATTCCCACACGAAAACCAAAGGAAGAATGACATATCATACGATCAGACTTTTGATCTTCGACACGACGACTAACCACCCCACAACATCGTGGGGTGTTTAACATACCCCGACTCTCAGCCAATCACGTCGAAGGAACGCAACACAGATTAGGAACGTGACAAAGATCATCCATCGCCAGTCGAGGCACTTCCGCAGATGTGCTCATCATTCCCATCGCCATCGGTGACACAATTTTGAACGCATCATTCGTTAGATGTCACAGTCCTACCCTGTCGCCACCAACGCGACGTCCACAATCACTTGATCATTATTTTGTTGTAGGGGTAACTATGCGGGAGTCACAAAAACGAGTTACAATTACACTATGGGCCAAGATACAGTTTGCAATTGCACTTCGGGCACCTTACCTGGCCAAAAAGGTGGGTTGCATACATTGCCCGAACTGCAATTGCAAACTGTCTCTTGGCCCATACTGCAATTATAACTCATTTTTGCGACACCCGCGTAGTTTCCCCTTCATTGTATTTCACAGAATACTTGTAATAATCATTTTCTGATACATTGAGAGGTTTCCCAAGGCGTTTCGTTATTTAAGAAACAAAAAAAAAAAAAAAAAAAACGAAGAAAACATCCCTCAATGATAAGAACGGACGCAGGAAAAGAATCGCGACACGAGAAAAAGGGAGGGAGGAACCCGCGCTGGAGGAGGGGGAGCGGAACGGCGCTACCGGGCGGGCAGCGTAGCGCTCCGGTAACTCCGTCACCGCTAGCGGTGTAGCGCTCGCGGTGCTACCTGGCCGGAACCTCCGCCGTCATGACGGAGGCCGGGAGGCGCCCTGCTCACCTCCACATCGGAGGTTGGGCTTGCCCTGGATGCAGGCGTGCCGTCTAGGTGGTCCATAGCTATGGTACGATAGGTTGGAGAAGGACTGAGACGTATCGTGTTAGGACCGCGAAAGACGGGTAATCAGAGATACAAGTCACCGTGACTATAGATTACCACGGTTACTCACACGAAGTCGCAGGGTAAAGTGCTCTCAGTTACCTCGGCTCCCCAGAAAGATGGAGATGGTAACAGTAGATGCACGCGGAACACACTACAGAGTCGAGAACGAGTAAAGGCGCCGTGCACGCCATGCTCCCGGAGCTCGTCGTAACGGGCGCAGGAAAGAATTTTTCGTCACACAGCCTGGACAACAGAGTAGGAGAGGGAGTGCGGTGAATCAGACGGCGCTGCCGAGATGCTTATACAGTTATCATCAGCATCATATTCAGTTATCAATCACCAAGAAAAGGCATGAGGCTCGCCAGGTATAGGAGATGTAAGGCATTGGTTTCACCGGAGTAAACGTGACAATGTCACATTCGGCGTAGGGATAGTGCAATAAGGGTCACCTGCGGCTAAGTGAAAGGTAACTCGTCGGCTAGCTCAGTAGGTTTCATGCCTGAGCGGCACCGCGTGGGTGCTGGGTTCTATTGCCGTCACTTTCAGTGGCCTGAAGGATTGGTGGCCACAGCCAGTCAACACTGGTAACTCGCTGGGGCGAGTTGTGCCGCCCTGTAACCCGTTGCAATACGGGAGCATCGGGCCAAGTGGAAGTGGCTGCTCAGGTCCTGCTAGTGGCTGCTCAGGTCCTGCTAGTGGCTGCTCAGGTCCTGCTAGTGGCTGCTCAGGTCCTGCTGCGGCCGGTCGGGACACACCCAATACACATCCAATAAAAGAGCTCTCAGGTTGAGTTCTCAGTCAGAATTATCATARCTGACATTCAYGATTACWATGCTTATCAGGGTTGAGACCCTCAATTTCACGATATTTCCAGAGGCAAAAAACTCTCAACATACCTGTCACAACATAAGCTCAATAAGGAAGCTCAATAAGGGCCTCGCCGCACAGTGCACGAAACGGAAAAAAAAAACGACTTCGTTTCGTGAAGCAGTCGCCACATAGCACCCACATGACCTCTGTCAGGAAAAACTCGTGAATGCTGTCAGTCTCCAAGTTCCCGAGCCCTCACGAGCGTGCCGACTCCTCCCTGCCTGCAGCACTCGCGAACTCGTAGGTCCTCCGCTGGTAGGGTGGAGGAGCTGCGAAATCTCATGAGTGTGCTGCATCGCTCCAACCGAGGTCCATCCAAAAACTTGGACCGTAGCCTCCACAAATTTGGACCGTAGCGAAGCGAATCCCGCACTACTCTCGCCAGGGCGTTGTCGCGAGAGTTTTCGTGTGTGCTGTGGGGCGGTGAGGCAAAAAACGAAGAGAAACGGTGGATCGGGGCTTCGCGAGGCCTCGCGACTCTAGTGATCGTTTCATTTCGTTAGGTGTGCCGTGCGGCAAGGCCCTAAGTCATGATCATGACATCTAATCTACAATAACAACTTCCATAACAATCTCGAATTACCCAGGGCCGGTCACCTGTGGATATATCTCAAGACTGCCGCCCTTGAAAAAAAAAAAAAAAAGTCGATTGTACCAGATCAGCAAGAGGGGAAGAAGATCCCTCGCCAGAAGAAGTTAGGAATTCGCTCGGATAAATGGGAGTAGTATCCCTGAGCGATCGGGTAAATGAGAAATAGTACCTCTGGTCGATCGAGTATTTGGTGTAGCGGAGCCGGTGTAAACAATACAAAATTCTACAACCGACATTCTCACGGACTGGTGCCTGTATAAGCTTCCAGGTAGTCGGAGGGAACCGTCACGGGGCATCGAGTCTGTAGCCACCTCTCCGCGTGTTTCGGCCGAATACTAAGAGCGCCCCAGAAAGTGGATTTCAGTTCGTACACTGGAAGGGAATCGCAGCGAAAGGGTAGTGCAGTGGCCACCAGTCGAAGGAAGCCTCAGCACTATCCGTTAAGAAGAACGCAGAGAGTGAGAGAAAGAGGGAAGGAGTTGTCGCACAGGATAGGGGTACAGGGCACCAACTACGACTAACCGTACGTCTAATTGGACTGGCAGGGCAGCACATCTGCATCCACAGTGAGCAACAAGGAGACGGGCAGCGGTGACTGGGCAGCGGGAGATGCAACCAGGAAAGCAGGAAATTATCCGGATCATCGGTAATTATTCAGTTCCACAGTAGTAAGAAGGTCTAGCTAGAGGAGAGGGGTGTAGTAGACACTGGGTCACGGAGCGCGGCATTGGGCTCAGGGCACATGCTCTGCACACAAGGCATAAGTGAAAAGTAAGGCATTTTGGACATTATCGGGTAACAAGTTACTACTGTACAAAGTCATAACAGCAGATCGGGTCACGATGGCGAATAAAACTACACGTGTACACGACTCTATTGGTAGATGCTACGATGACGGGGTATGCCCAAAAGATGTCAACCTGGGAAAAGTAGTAGAGGACGAAGAGGGAACGAGATTTGTGGTGGATGGAGCAATGGAGGAAGTAAAGGAACAATGGCTGAAGGAAAAATCGGTGGTGGTGATTTTCCAGGGTGAGGCGAGAAAGTTAGCTCGGTCAGTAAAAAAAGACTTAATCAGGGCGTACGAGGACAGGTGGACGGCGAATAAGTTGTTCCAACCAGAACTCAGGAGAGGTAGAGTGAAGTTTGAGGGGTTGAATGTGGCCTCGTACGTCGCCAAAACGAAAAAAGTTGCTCAACGGCTAATACAACAAAAGGAGCTGAAGATAAAGTTGGGAACAGACGAGTACAGGGTTCAACTTAGGCCTAGACTATCCAAGCATGAACTCCAAGAGGTTAGGATCCAAGAAGCGGAAACAAAATTCTGGATCATGGCACTCAGAGTCCCTGTAGATGCATACTATTACTTATTTAGTGTTGTAAGTAACATGTTTGGAGAAGTGTTGGCAGTACACTCTCCAGAATATGATAGGGACCGACCCAAACTGATGAATGTCAAGTTTGACATGCCCCCCGAAGCGCGGAGTATAATTGATGACGTATTGATAATCTAGGCACCGAAAGGGGAGAGATGGAAGATGGAGATTGTCTCCCCTTACACAGACTGGTGTCGTAGGTGCAAGTGGTACTACCACACAGAAGATAACTGCCCAAGAGCAGCCCAAAGCGGGAAAGGTTCGAGAGACAAGGGGGAGAGACAAGGAGGACACAGGGCTCAGTTCAGACAGCACCTGCAGGGACTGGAACAAGCTACCAGGGATGGCTCAGCAAGAAGGGAAGATGCCAATGTTAATGAGGATACACAACAGTCAGGGCTAGATAGGCCCTTTCGGCACAGCGCCACCTAGGCACCAGACGCCAGAAACAACAACCACCGCGTCACGCAGCCTGTCGCAGCAACGGGCAGCTGGACCAGTCACTCAGTCCCAAATGGGCTATGCCCCAGTTATGCAACATGAAGCATGACCCTGGAGTCTGCATCCAGAGAACGGAGGAGACGAAGCTCAGTTCCAAGGCAGAGATACGCTCAGAAAGCAGGACTGGGGTAGAGAACAGGCACATCAGGATCTACACACGAGGTACGCACTGTTGCCCCACTGGGCTCCCAGAGAAGAGTGGCATGGGAATAACGCAGAGGCAGCATTCCTTGCAACACCATATGGGGAACCTCAGATGGGGGGCACCACCACTGGTCAACTCGCCTCTCAGCAATGGTAGGAACATTAATGGAGCCCTGGGCAAGAGTCTAACCTGCAGTACTTAAGGCCGCACGCCCAACAATGGCACTCAGGACATGTTGAACAGCCAGAGCCTCGATACCCGTCAGCGTCGTACGATTGGAGAAATTTTGCAACAGGAAGGCCCCCTCTACCGCTGGACACCTCTAGATGGGGGGAGAAAGGTGGCTCTAACAGAAGAACACGGAGAGGCAGCAACACTTGATGGGATGCAAGGAAGGATGAGAGTCGGAGAAATAGAGAAGGGAGCACACAAGACTGGAGACAACAGACAATGGAATACACACACAGAATCAGAGAAGAGGAGGAAGCCACAGGAGGCTATACACCAAGCGTTCCTCATGCGAGAGACCATGCTATCCGTGAAGAACTGTCGAAGACCTCAGAGACCTCATGCTCCAAGGTTTGGTGGGGTAGCGAGTGCAGCGAAAAGGATAGAGGGAAGCTCCAGGAGCAGGCGAGCTCCTCGTCCCTGCAAAGTTTTGCAGCTACGAGCGAAAAGAAGCAAGTAGGACAAGTTACAGGGGGCGAACAGATTTGGGACATGGACAAACAAGCAGATACAGTAGAGAAGAACCAGATGGAGACTGTGCAGCGAGAAGGGCATGTCGTTAATCCCATCGAGGTTGGTGGATCCGTCACCTACTCCGTCAACGATCTTGGAGACCACCCGGAAGCTGTATGGGGAACATGTGTCAATCCCCATCATCCCACACTCCTCAATGGGCAACGTGCTCTGCGAAACAGTACAGGGATACACGAAAATGTACTTCCCTTTGCTAGATGCACGTATCCAACCAGAGACTGCAAACGCACTGGCCTAGTCAGGCATCAGATGGCTGGTCACAGATCTGATAAGAAAACGAAACGTACCAGAACTGGAAGCCATCCAGGTGCTACCAGGGATCTCGGCCATGGTTCTCCTAAATGTAAACGAGAAACTGATAACGGAGGAAAACTTTCACTCGAGCTTCCTGGCCAACAGCCTGACTGAAGAATGGCGCACCTCCTCAGAAGCCAGTTCATCCAGGAGCAATGTGAAACTCAGATCAGGTAACACTGAACACAACCGCATCCAATCTAAGGCGGGAACATCGGAAGTTAATAGACAGAATTAGAGCAGTATCCTTGAATGTCCGTAGCCTGTGTGATACCAACGGAAGATCAAAGAGAAGACGCGTGGAAAGTTGGATACACGAATGGAAGGCCAACTACATCATGTTGCAAGAATCCAAGCTTAACGAGGATAAACTAAAGGAACTGTCCTCATGGTGGGATGGACCACAGATCTGGGCTCCAGCTCAGGGCACTCGGGGCGGTGTGGGGATACTGTTGCAAAGGGACCTCCAAGCATTGGTAATAGACTCGGCGGCTGACATGTGGGGGAGATGGGCCTGGGTGAAGATTGAGGTGGATAAGGACGAGTGCGTTTTCATGACTATATATGCACCTACCGAGGTGGGAGAGAGGGCAAAATTCTTTGCCAGATTGATGTCGCAAATACCGAAGGCAGACAGACTAGTCCTAGCAGGTGATTGGAACATTTCACTGGACGGGCACTGGCTCAGCGGGAAGGAAGGATGTGCAAGCCCTCCTAGAACTTACCACAGAATTGGCCCTGGCAGAC